CGGGGTGCGAGCTGCCCCGCTTCGACGCGGCGCGGTTCCTCCGCGCGATGAGGGGCAAGTCCATGGCGTTCATCGGCGACTCGCTTGCCAGGAACCAGATGCACTCGCTGGTGTGCCTCCTGGCGCGCGCCGAGCAGCCGGCGCCGGCGCCGAGGACCAACGCGTTCCGCTTCGAGAGCCACGGGTTCGCCGTCTCCCTGTTCTGGTCGCCGTTCCTCGTGCGCGCCGTCGAGACGGACCCGGACGGCCCGACGCGGAGCGGGGCGGGGCTGTGGAGCCTCCACCTCGACGAGCCGGACCCCGGGTGGGCGGCGCGCGCCGGCGAGTTCGACTACGTGGTGGTCTCGGCGGGGAGCTGGTTCTTCCGCCCGTCCGTGTTCCACGTGCACGGCCGCGTCGTCGGGTGCAACGGCTGCCTCGCGCCCAACGTCACCGACCTCACGCTCCGGTACTCTCTCCGGATGGCGTTCCGGACCGCGCTCCGCGCAGCCGCGGACGCGCTGCCCGGCACTGGGCGGCGGCGCTCCAGGTCCGGGAGGACGGTGGTCGTGCGCACGCTCTCGCCGTCGCACTACGAGAACGGGACGTGGAACGAGGACGCCGACTGCGCGCGGTCGCGGCCGCTCAGGCGCGGCGAGTGGGAGATGAACGCGGTGGAAAAGGACATGTACGCGATACAGGCGGAGGAGTTCGGGGCGGCGAAGAGGGCGAGCAAAGGGGCCAGGTTGCTGCTGCTCGACGCCACGGAGGCGATGGCGCTGCGGCCGGACGCGCACCCGAGCAAGTATCGTCTGTGGCAGCCCGACCGGTTCAACGTGTCGCGCGACTGTTTGCACTGGTGCCTGCCCGGCGCCATGGACGCCTGCAACGACATGCTGCTCCACATGTTGTTGCGTTATAGAAACTAGACTAGAAACAGGCCCAATTCAACGCGTAGCCATTCTTTATTTTATCTTTGTTTTTCTCAGCATGTTATACTATCAACTAAATTAAACTGCATCCGTTAGGCACTTCATCTGTCATTATCGAAATATAAGGTATCTAAGAAATTTTAGAATAAATTACAGTACAATTCAAATAACTCTTGTTATAGGAAGATATTGTGATTACTATATTTGAGTTGGTTATAAACATTAACGGTGGGTATGTAAATTTGAATTAAAGCTGGGCACTTTTAGATCGGAAACTAAAACTGAGCCAAACTGACACCATACTAAGCCGAAATATCGTTTTTTCAGCTGTTTAATTTGGTTTCGGCTTTAGTATATGAGAACTACGATTATCGGCTTCGGCTGCGATTTTGGACCTTCAGCCTGTTCGTTTGACTGTGTCTTGTCGTAAAGGATTGTAAATTTCCAGTCAAAACAGTATTTTTCTCTCACACAAACCAGCTAGCAGTATTTCTTCACGAACCAGCAACGATACGAACCAGCCAACCGAACAGGCTATAACTGAACCAATTACCCGAGTAACTGATCCTATCCCCAGTTTGCACTTCGAATAGAAAAACCAACCCTAACCTTATCTCTTTCGTGGCTCTATGCCTCTGCCTTGCCTCCTCATTTCCTTCCTGCTCTCAGTCCTCAGACCATGAGTGACGGCTACACGGCTCCTCCGCGCGAGGAGGGGTTAGGGACGGCTCCTTGCCGGCGGCCAGTGGGAGCGGCGCCCGAGCAGGACGCTATGGCTTCTCGGTGGCGTGGACGTGCCTACGTAGGCAGGTAGGGCGGGTGACGCGTGTGACATCAGTAGGGTGACGGAGGCAATGACACAACATTGATGGGGTAGCAGGCTTCTCCTATCTTCTCTGTATTGTGGTTGGTTTGGTTCCACAGAAAATAGAACCAAAGAAACTGACACCGAATTTGTTGGGTTCTCGTGTTGTGACAAGCCGATATAGAAACCGAAGTTTGTGGAAACCGAAGAAACCTAAACTAAGTGTTGGTTAAAACCGAATACCGAGTCTTAATTTCAATACTTTCTTTTAAACAAAAATGGAGAGTTACTTCACTATAATTCCTATATTTGGGTTATACAATCAACCAAATTAAGTTACATCATACAAAATTTCGTGGCCATGCGAGAATCCATGCTCTAAAGCGTAAAGCATAGAAAAATATCTCCTAATACATATCAAATCGAAATATAAGGTATTTTTAGAAATTCTAGGACAAATTATAGTATAAATAAAATGGACGCATGTTGTAGGGAGATATGGAGGTTACCATTTGTGTTGGTTATAAACAATAATTAATGGTAGAGGTACGTATATGAATGCTGCCTTTTAACAAAAAAAAAAGAGAGAATTACTTCGTCCAGAATCCTTATATTTGAGAATAAAGAAAGCATATTATATCTACCGAGCTACTTACAGTCACCCGTTGATCCATACGAAGATGGGGATGAAAAAAAGATAAATCTTAAGAATAATTTTCATATATATAAAATAATTGATCTTCAATACAATAAACTATAATAATCACTGATGTGTATTAAAAAAACCCACCTCTAGCATTTAAAATATAATATAAATTAAAATAACCTCTTAAAATTTGTATTTAAGTTACCAACCGTTGCTATAATGAAACATAATCCGGTTTTCATCTCCTCCTTGGTAATGCTCTCGTGAGGGCGTGTGGACGCGTTCTCCACTTCTTGCTACCGCGCCGTCCGCTCGCTCACGTTCGCACCCCTTCTGAAAAAATATCTCTACTACACGTCGCCTCCACCGCGCTGCTCGCCTGCTCCACAACATCCACCGCCGTGGCCGCCTCCGTCGTGCTGCCCGCTTGCCGCAGCTGCCTTCACCGAGCCGGCAAGCCTCCATGACGGATGCTCTAGCAAGTAGACGACGGAGGAGCTTCGTGGGACGCCGCCCTGCTGGCAAGTGTTGCCTGCACCGGCGAGCTCCATGTGCCGCCACCGACCTCTGTGTCGGCGTTGAGCTCCGCAACGACGAGGCTCCATTATTCATCCAAGCGGCGATGGTGGCATTATGCTGAAAGCGCATGTTGCAAGCGTATGTTTTAAGCGTGTTAGATGTTTCATTTGGATGTTGCATGTGTTTAATCTGGATGTTGTAAAAGTAGATCAGGATGTTGCACATGCTGCAATGGTTATACACATATGTTGCAAGTGTATGTTCCAAATGTTGCGGCTGTTTTCAGACACATGTTGCAAGTGTATGTTTCAAATGTTTCAGCTGTTTCAGACGTATATTGCAAATAATTTATTTGGATGTTGCTTTTGTTGCAGTGACTATACACATATGTTGCAAGTATATGTTTCGAATGTTTCACCTGTTTTATATGTATGTTCCAGCAAGTGCTTCATATTACAAGTGTTTGGACTTAGCATGAGTACTAGCATTTTTCTAGATTAAATTAATTCAAAAAAATTGGAAAAATTCAGGATCGGTCAGGTGCGTGACGTTTTCTTATTTTCTAATTCTAAGGAAACTCATAAAAGGAGCAATCCTAACCTGATCGAGTTCATCTGCACTAGAGTATTGCCGGCCTTCATATTAGTTGTGTGTAAACACGCCGTTACTAGAATCATCGTCGTTGATCCGGCACTGAAATAAGATGATGATTTCAGTCATCACTCATGAGTCATGCCAGGTGATGTCACCATAATGGAAGCTATATAACTGTGATAATATGTCATTATGTACACTCTCTTACTGAAACATTCAAACATATGAGATGAGATGCATAGGATTATATTAGAGAAATGAGGATTAGATGGTACCATGACTAAGCCTACGGATGCAAGTTGAATGAAACGTCAGTTGACCTAATATCCTTTTTTTAAAATTAGCCAACTACTTCCATATAATTATACTACCTTCTCCACTCACAAATAAGTGACGTGATTTTGGAGATCCTATGGATGTTTAAACCGCCACTAATTTATGATTGGCGTGATGCTGACCGTAGTTCTTTTCCTTTTTTTTTGCTTGGTTTCATCATTTATTGATCAAATCAACTAGAGCTAATTAGGGGGTCACAAATAGGATTCATCAGGTCACCAATAGGATTGAGCCTATTTCTATCTCCCTTGTGTTTGCACCCTGCTGGCATGCTCGTGCTGTGTGCCTGTGCGTCGCATCTCAGCTCATCAATTTTGTCTGGCTGCACATCAAAATCTGATGTGTGATATTAATTATTTTTGTCTAGTGGCTTGTAATGAACCAAAAAAAAACCGATCACTCTATGAGCTGAAACGACATAGTAGATCCATCCAAAGCTGCTGACAAAAGTCCGTCGTGTCAAGTTGCATAGTTGATCAATAAGTAATTTGACGTTCGGTCTATTTTCTAACAGCCACAGGAAGATATAATACTTATATATACTGTCATATATATTGGCAAGAAGAGTGGTAATAAAATATTGATGCAAATTTTAAAAACACTTTTTCAAAGGAATGTTCAAAAGGGTTGAAATATGTTCCCTCCCTTTGACCGTAGGCTTAGGGGCTGTTTGGGAGGGCTTCTAGGGCTCCGGCCCCTCCAAATCGCGCACCGTTCATAATACTGTTTATTAGAGCCGTTTTCTCCTTATTCAGGTTCACTTTTTTTCGAGAGGAGCACACTATTTTTGGCTCCTCCGGTGCTGGCTTCTCGATCACTGTAGCACAAAGCAGGAGCCGGAGGTGCCCAGCCAAACACGCCCTTATCTTTGAGCAACAAAGCATGAAAATCCTCTTCAAAAATCGGCACTACTATAATTCCAATTGAGCCTTGTGCATGCACATCTCAGGTTAAGGCAATTAACGATGGCAAACAAACAATTATATCAAGGGAAAAAAAACAGCTGCGCCCCCCGTTTTCTTCCTTGTACCTATCACTGCTGATCGCCTCTTCTTTGGTTTCTCCCAACGCGTACTTGAACTGGTGTCCATATATATCCAAAACAAGGAACGTCAAAAGCAAGAGAAATGTTCACATGATCCATAGTCTAGGGAATATCATCACTAGCTGTACGCTACCATAGCATAGCATGATCATGACCAACCCAGCCGCAATCCTCTCTGTGGCGCTGCTCATCGTGGGCGTCTCTCTGATGCTCGTCCTCCACGTCCTCGTTGTTTTCTGGGCCCTGCGGCGGGGACTCGTCTCCCGCGGCACCGGCCAGCACGCCAACCAGGAGCGCGTGGAGGACGGCCACGGCCGGGGACTGTCGCCCGGCGAGCTCGTCACGCTTCCTTGCCACGTCTTCAAGTCTGCAGACGGCTGGGCGACCGCCGGGGACTGCGCGGTCTGCCTCGAGGCGTTCCAGGCCGGCGACCGGTGCAGGCAGCTGCCGCGGTGCGAGCACAGCTTCCACGCGGACTGCGTGGACTCGTGGCTGAGGAAGAGCAGCGCGTGCCCCGTGTGCCGTGCCGACGTGGTGGACAGGCCGCCCAAGGGCGAGCCGAAGGCAGCGGCCTCATCAGGGGTCCTGGGGATGGCGGAGAGAAGAAGCTCGATCCCCGCGTTGGAGATCGTCACTGAAAGATAAGGTCGCCTAGGTACGGCCCATGGCTGGTGGGAGTGTTGGTTGTGCAAGCATGTGCATATCTTCTTAAGCTGCACTCCCAACTACTCTTTCATATCTTCTTAAGATAATTGTGCCCTTTTTTATCTTGATTTTACCATATATGCATGATGGTACAAATGTTGGCATGCATTTGATCAATGTGAGACTATTTACACATATATTTACATTGTCTATTCACTACTCTGTTCATTCAAATGATAAGAGGTTTTAGCTTTTTTAGATATATATTTTTGCTACACATCTAGATATATGTTATTTCTAGATTCATAGTAAAACCTATGAATTTATAAATGACAAAACATCTATAATTTGGAAATGTATTATGTTTAGGCCTTTTAAAGTCGCCAAAAAATGCTTTTCAAAGACAGTAGCAGATGATGGTCTCTATTAATCATCATCAATAGAAGCGGTCACAAGCCCACATGTGAAAAATGGTGTTTTTCAGCTACAGATGAGTTAGACATCCATCTCTAGAAATGCAAAAACAACATCCATCTGCATAATTTCAATTTCTACTATGGAAAGCTAGCTTCTGTTGTTCGGTCACCGCCGCTGCTCCTCCTTGTTGTCCTGCTTCTGCTCTTTTCATCATGCAGCACGCCACCGGGACGCCGCCAATGGATTCTCCGACATCAAGAGCTAGAAGCATCTCCCAACCTCCCTACTCCAGATTAATCATCTACAAAGCACCACAGATAGATCTGCATAAGTGGGAGAGGAAAAGGAGGGGATAGATAGATGAGAGGAGAGAGGTCGAGAGGGAGACACTGCAAATGGGGAATGGATACAAACGGAGCACCTTTGTAGGTAGGGAATGGCCAAGTACAAATCCAGACATCTACGGAGAGCATCATCTATGCCCCACCCATCACCTCCATGCAACTCTAGACCTTGTCTCCACATGTGTTGCCCGCCAACCTCAACCCAGCAACACCCTAGGTCTCCTCTGTGCACCGCCGTCGGCCTCCATTACACCACCCTTGGCCTCTACACTGACCTCAACCTCTGTGCTCGTTGGACCTCCTCCGCGCTTGCCATCCACCCACCAGCCTCCTCCGTGTTTGCGGTACCTCATCTATGCAGGCTGCCTGTAGGCTTCCTCCACCAGATCTGGGAGATGGTTTGTCTACAGAGAGAAAATAGAGTGGAGGAGTGGAGTCATTGGATAGGCACACACGCGCACACACACACACACACACACACACACACACACACACACACAGAGAGAGAGAGAGAGAGAGAGAGAGAGAGAGAGAGAGTCGACAGCTGGGAGAATAGGGGTGTGAGGAAGTTAGGGGTTGTGCAATTGGGAGAGGATTTATGGTCCTCAAGCTTTTTTAGAGGCGGGACTCATAGAATGTCTGCCTCTATTAATGGCTCCATTTACAGAGATGGTTGTTGATTGGTTGTCTCCATAAATGGACCTAGCTACCACCTATGAAAGTTGAAGGGTGTTTTGGGAGACAAACACTTTTGACCCGCCACTGCAAATAAGAGGGTTTTTCTTCAAAAATCTTTTTTTTGCAGTAGTTTGGTTCAAGGATGGGATGGTGATAGTGTGACACATAGATGATTCTAGCTCCGAGTCTAATGATATGAGGAATATAATGAGCTGATCTAGCAACATGTAGAAGAAACTTCGCCTACTAGGTTCACATGGATGATGGCAAATCAATGTTTACATGAGACATTTTAATTACCAATGTTTTTTCTTGATATTTCTATTCCACACACTACTATAGTATACTGGTTTTTGGAGACAACCTACCCCATCTTTAGATGCGACCATATGTGCCTTCGCCTTTGTTATATTGCACGTCGATGTGGAATTATGCACCACTAGATCACATGAGTCATCCATAGTTTTATGGGTGCATCATGGTTGACAGTAGTAGGCAGTGCACATCTAGTTGTAGTTTAAGCTTGATTTGGGTTAAGTGAAGCTTGGGGCTTGTTACTCTTGGTGCTTGTCAATAACAAGACAATCTGGGTAATTGAGGAATTGTTGGTGATTGTGGGAGTCTTAGAGCATCTCTGGTAGTTGGTAAATCAATGAGTTTTCCAAGTGGCTAAAAAAAGTTGAGGAGCATATTTATTGAGTTTCTCCAACAGTTTCCAAAATCTCGCTCCTAAAATATAGAAGACAATTTTACATCAGGAAATCATGAACTATTTCTAAATCACCCTAACCAGTTTTATACTTTTTCTCTCTTGCACATTTGCATTGGGAATCCTGCCCTACTTTTTAGTCTTCCCCATATCCTTCCACCTCCAGATTGGCCGATCGATAGGCGCATGTTCATTTCAACACAATTGGGTCGATTTTCCTGAGTGTGGAAAGATTGGGAATTGATTGAGATAGGGAGTTGTTGGAGAAAAGTTTTTTCAATCTTGCCAAAAAATCAAGATTAGGAGTAGGTTTTGGAAACTTTGGAGGTGCTCTTATTTAGAATCATTTTGTGCTAGTTTGGAAGCATGCCTATCTAGAGATGCAGATGCGCATTTCATTCGCGAGGACTTTAGTCTTAGTGCCTCATGAAGGACCTATACACTTTGGTGAGGTGCTGCAACAAGTGCTAGGAAGAGTGCCACCAACTCAATACTTCAAGAATTTGGCGTTTTATTGTTGATTTCATTACTTTTCCTCATCTAATGATTATTTATATTACCGTCTTGCAATTCAATAGCTTTCTCATTGTGTAGCTTAATGTTACACCTAGAATGTAGGGTATGATGACAGCTTGACTAGAATGATAGGCTAATGTTATTTTTGAACTACAATTATAGGGTTAGGATCCTATGTATTCAATTCTTGAATAAATTTTAGTTAGTCCAAATTCACCCCGGTAGCCAATGACACTTTATGTTGCCCTTGGCCATTTCTGAATATTCGCTCCAAGAAAATAACCAGCATGTATTCATGATTAATCATTACACATTCAACACATTACATGATTTTTAATAAATATAGAATTGTAGCATACATGTAAAAAGATCAATTTGAAACACAATTTACAGACACACATTCGGACCAGCTATATAATTAAACATAGTAAATAAGAAGGCTTATAAGCATCGATTTATTCAAAGCGTTTATGTAGGAAAGAACTTAAAGGTCTCAAGGAGAGAATTTGCCTACCCTAAACCCGTGAAGGCTCCATGGCTAGGCCACACATGCCCTCTTGTCCTAAATATCCTTCTCCATTCTCGGAGAACCATTCTCGCCCCAAGTCGTGCCTACCTCATGAGTTCTTCATCATCCAAGACTTTGTGCCATCACCGGTCGCTCCATAACCAATGGCTGCAATCCCATGGTCCAGTCGATCACCGCATGAGCCGCCATCACACCACCAGAGTAGAACTGAAACGTGAACATGGCATGTCTCCGCCGTCCCACCGCTACCGACACGGCGGGTTGGTTGGCCACGGCCTTCATCAACCTGCCTCATTGTTTGCGTGCACATCCTCGTAGCCCTTGATGGTTGCAACACTATTTGATCCACTCTTGCACTTGCCATCTGCAAGCCCTATGTGTAAGGATAGCTAGACTCCGTGGTTAGGCCGCCATTCTTGATGATAAACTTGAAAGCATCGTCCATCAAACCACCCTCACAACCTTGATCCTCACCATGGACATCGCAATCCACCAACTCTTGTTCCGAGAGGGAGGTGAGCTTGCGGTGCTGATTTTCACGATGCCTTCTAATGAACATGCCACGGTTCCAAGTTGAGAACGCCCAAAGAAGCACCTTCGCAATTGATTGTTATGTTTCAACGTATGTCATAACAGATAACACTCTAATTTAGGAGTACTTCAGAATAGTACGTGTTGCCACATGATCTTCCTCTTCCTTCTAAATGTACTTACCACATTGGCCTTGATCCTTGATGGGAGTGACGGCACCCTGGGTCCTCCAATCGATGGTCGCCGGAAGCGCATCGACGCTAACATTCTCATACCTAAATCCGGTAGGGATCTTCACAGGGCTGGGTTTGAAGCCCTTGTTGGTCTTGGTAGCCCTGAACTCATCGTTGGTAAGGTCGGTGAACTGGTTGATGCCGAGCCGTTTGACTTCATCTTGGCGGTTCTCACACCTCACCGTTCCACCGTAAACGACTCGATGAACTTAACATTAGCCTTGAACACCTCAAACCGCTGAGCCTTCTCGGTGGCGTCTTTGTAGACGCGGTTGTACTGCGCCATCCACTGCTCATGCCTCGCCACCATGGCTGAGTCGTCGTTCAGGTCGCGAGCAGCGAGGGCTGCACCGCAGAAGAAGGCGAAGCCGAGGATTGCCAAGATTAATGCCTTGAGGGTGGCCATGGTCGATCACTCTATCGATCAGGCCTGTGAATTGGTTGCTGATGCTGGCCTGCTGCTGCTGTGCACTATGCCTATTGATTTGGTGATTTGAGCTGGGTGGTACGGGTATATATAGCTACAGACATGTATTATTCTTGTAAGTTGTAAGTATGAAGCGATACGGTACGGTGCTTCTACGCTGTATTGTGTAGAAAGGGACAGGTACGTAGCCGTGAAGTATTGCCAGATGGTATAAATTATTTTACTTGTGCTCCAGACGTACATTTGATGCTCTGCTATGGATTGCTGTCTTAAAGCATTATGAATAGAGATTTTTTTTTGAGGGTTTATGTATATAGAGATTATAAGCACCAGATCTCATTACAGGCATTAAATAACATATAGTATCAGATAAAAATTGGAAAAAGTGTATTAACAGCACATGGTTAGTATAATACTCTTTCATCTTCTAGTGTTTAATAATGTTTGTAAGTTCATTTTGAACTAACCAAGGTAACAATAAGGAATGGCATCATCCACAAAATAAAATAGGATCTCAAATCTAACAGTGGATAGGTTCGTTCATACGTACCTCAAACCAGTCAATTTTATAAACACATACCGCGGCAAAGTTACGTTAACTGCTCTAAAAATAATA